TCTCCAAATTGGTGAGAAAAGATGAATCCAGTGTCACACCTAGTGAGAGGATATAGAAAATTTAAAATTCCTAGGATTGTTGGCAGCTTATAATACCTCCCAAACCTTGTCCCATGGAAAGAAAGAACTTTAGAAGTTGGAAGGAATGTTGTTAATAGTGAATTGAAAATAAAATATCACTTACTTGTGGAAAAAACCCCTATGTTTTGTTTACTGTATGTGAAAAACAGATAGTTAAAATTATTTTAATGAGAAGAGATTTTTTTTTTACTTCTGGGTATTTTATGTGTCCTAACATGAGCTTGTAGCCTGCCGTATTTCTTCAATCTGTTATCATTCCACCAGTAAGCGCAACACGCATATCTTAAGAGAGTTCAGGGTAAAGGTCTGGGTGGTCCATGTCATTTTAATCCTTGGAATATCAACTCCTTTGGAAAGGGCTATCACAGCCTGAGCAAAAGAAATAAAATTGCAGTCTCTTCCAAAAATAGTGCTGTACATAGTAGTGGTATATACTCTTATTCCTTAAAATGGTATACTTTCAGAGCAGTCTCCAACCAAGCTGTGTAAAGCTCTGCTCTAGCCCTATTGCTGCCTTATCATCTTCCCCACACCTCAAAAAGGCTGTCTGTGGGAGCCACTGATAAATAGGGTCACACCAGCAGGGGTGAGGATGAGAACCCCGCCTAGTGGCTCAATGCTTCACATGCATGATGGCTGCGGGCCTGACCTTTCTAAGACCTTGTAGTTCCCAGAGGAAAAGTACCAGAAGTCTATTCAACTTGTATGATAAAAACAGTCCATGGTGCTTTTGATGAAAACATAAATTACCAAGTCATTCCCTTGGCATGGGAATGGCAAGTCTCATTAGAAGGGCTGCAGTGGGCAGGAGTTTGTGTATTTTTTTTTTTTTTTTTTTTTTTGGTTTTTCTCCGGTACCGGGAAGAGTTTGTGTATTTTGCAAGTACCCTAGATAATTATTGTCATCAGGAGAATATAGGAAGTATTGGTTTATAAATTAGACAGACCTGACTTTACTACTGCTGTGGTAGATCGGAACCAGGTTGAAATAATTTCCCAAAGCTCTGGGCCTCTCTTTCACCCTAGTGTGTAGTTACCATGGAAACAACAGCAGGTCTTTTTAGTAAATGCTAGGAAGAAGATTCACAGTAAACACTTGCACAAATATTGCAGGCTTCTTTCTAATGACAAAAGGGTGCTCTTTTTATTTAAAAGTTCCTGGGAATGTAGCTTGGTGGTAGAGCGTTTGCATCCACATGAGAGGTCCTGGGTTCAATGACAGCTCAGGAAAAAAAGCTGCAAATTGGACAAGGGTCCTGATTTTCCAGCATGATGGCTTATTTGAGCTTCCTCTTTGTTAATTCATTCAGCAGCAAATATTTAGTGAGTATTTTCATGTGACAGAAACTTTCCTAGATGTCTGAGATCCGTTAATGGATAAAACAATAAAAAGCACCTACCATTGCAAAGCATATATTCCCAGTGGAATCTGCCTGTAGTGCCCACATAATATCTTTTCCCAAAAGATTCCATGATCGATGACCACCACAGGAATCTGTGTGTAGGATCATTCTGATATTTTTGGTTTTGGTGATTCATGCCATCTCCCATAGAAATCAAAGTGCATTTGCAATGACAGCATATTTTTTGGCACTTGCGGTTGTCCCTGCTGTGCCAGTCTTGCTAGCTCAGTGCTTTTGAGTATTCATTGTCTTAGGCACCAACATACATAGTATCACTGGCCCTCAGCTTCCATGCTACCCCTTCAACATGAAAGCTCTGGGTGGAGGGTCTGACTGCTGTCTAGGACAGCTGTCCATGTCCAAATCCTTATTGCCAGGGCCAGGAGAGGAACTGTCACTCTTTCTGACATCTATAGTAGGAGACTGTCTTTCCATGTCTCTCACACAATGATTTTTCACCCCAAAAATAATGGGTGGCCAGATACTGAATGGCCAAGAGATTTTTGAGGAACACAAACACACACAATCTCTATATCTTTGGTTGGATTTTGTGTTTCCTCATGTGGACACATGTAAGTGTGACAGCACACACAGCCCTTTGATTCTTACTGGCTGTTTGGACAACACCTGTGTAGGGGTTTCTCCTGCTCTCCTCCCTGACTGGGTTTCCCTCCTTTTAAATTCCTAGCTCAATTGCAGAGAGGAGAGTTCTTTGCAGGCTAGTGTGAAGATGGTGCCCTCTGGTGGAAGACAGTGAAGATTACATCCTCCTTTCCAAAGCTAGCCTAATTTGAAGTTTTTGTTTTCCCCCAGATTTATTTTCAGTTGGTTTATGTACTTCGCAAAGTGATCAGGATTACCACCAGAATGTCCATGTCTATTATGACAGGGGAGGAAAGAAAAACTCATCATCCAAACAGCAGGCCCACCTGTTCTACCATTATATCAGACCTTAGCTCTAATTCTACATAGGTCACTCCCACTATTTATTACTTCACCCAGAAGATATGTGTTGTGACAATTGACAATATTTGAAGGCATTAACTTTCTAAAAGATATGAGTTTATCGATATTTAACAGAACTTCATAGGTACCCCAAATAACCAATTGTGGTAGTGCACGTGTGTAATCCCAACACACTTCGGACAAAAGGGTTGCAGGTTCACACTCAGCCTTGGGAATTTAGTGACTTAGTGAGGCCCTGTCTCAATTTTTTTTTAAAAAGGAGTGGAATGTAGCTCAGTACAAAGGCCCTGGAGTCAATCCCCAGTAAGACTGAAACACACACACACACACACACACACACACACACACACTTAAAATGGCACGTCTCATGGGGCTGGGGATTTAGCTCAGTGGCAAAAGCGCCTGCCTGGCAAGCACAAGGTCGTGAGTTCGGTTCCTGGTACCAGAGAAAAACAAACAAACAAACAAAACAAACAAACAAAAAAAAAACAAATGGCACGTCTCAGGAGAAACAAATGGCTTAAGTGTCTCTTACTTTTAGAGATAATTTGTAGAGAGATAATGTCTTGAAATATTCATATTTGGGCCTCACTTTTCCACTCTCATACATGACCTTTCTTCTATCTAGTCAAAGGTTTTTCCTTACAATGAGGTCAGATTGGAAAGGGAAGAGTGAGTGGACGGAGTTTTCCGAGATCAATAGGAAAGAGGACAGAGGAAAAGCAGATTCCCTACCACGCTAACACCAAGGCTCTAAAGGACGCTCAACTAGGCAAGGGAAAGAGGACCACTAAGGCTGGACCAGGGCCAGAAGCAATATCCAAGGTGTGGAAGAGACTATGGATACGACCTACAAGTGTAACCAGGAAGGGGGAAGAGCCCACAGGGGGCACTGTGGAGCTCTGTCAGTCGAGTCCTCAGGACCAAGGGAGTGCAAGGAGACTGAGCTTATTTTACTTCCTTGCAAGGGACCGCTGTGCATCTCTGGTGGAGGGAAGCATTTCCGTCCGATGACCCCACCGGTGCAGGTGTGAGCTGTCCACAGGTGCTGACCACATCTTGGATGCAGCTCGTGCTAAGACTTGGTTGAGCCCCATCTAAATGATTTTGGGAAACACTGCCCTCCTCTCTGCAAAACTCAGAAAGCTCACATCACCCCTACCCCTAAACCAGAAGGCAAAGGTCCTTGACAACCTGAAATCTACCTTAATATTTTTTCAGTACAAGAGTTTGAGCCCAGCTGGGATTTTGTTGTTGTTGTTTTGTTTTGTTGCTTATTTCTTATTTTGAGACAGGGTCTCACAAAGTCACGCCAACTTGTGAGCCTCCTGCCTAAGTCTCCCAGAGTGCCAGGATTACAGGTGTACACCACCATGCCTGGCTCTTAACTTTTGAACAAGAAAATTAGGAAGGAAAGATAGAACCACAGAGCACATTTAGCTTTCCCAGGAATTAGAAAGAAAAAAGGAAATAAGGATGATGGCTCTCCAGAATCCCTGCTCCAGCCCCTCTGTATCCTAATTAGATGTTTATTCTCTAACAGGAGAGAAAATTTTGATAGACTTTTCCTATGTGCGGGTCTCTGATAATTTGATTCTACTCAGAATTCCACCCCTTGACACTCAGCTATAATTTTATGTGACAAAGAAAAATATCTGCTACCATAAGCCACTTTCCTAATCTTTTTGAGTTTTACTCACCCATAAAGGATAGCTGTGAAGATTAAAAAGAAAAGTGCATGGAATAAATAAGCCATCACATTTTATCACATGTGAGAACCAGAAAAGAATGGCTCCAGGCAAGCCTATTTCCATGGAATTTGATTGTGAACTGTGAGGTTCAAATGGCTCTTGCGTTGAATCTGCATTCAGGGAAGCCTTGGAGGTAGAACAAGCCGAGGGATCCCTCTGTATCTACAGGGGTTGCTCTATTCTACTAGATTCTGCAGAGGAAGCAGCTGCCTCCAAAGCTCTGACACAGAGTAATCAAAGGAGAGAACTTGAGAGCAGTTCCATAGATGCTGCAAAGTAAAGATAACAGTCTGATTTCATGTGAGTGTTGAAGAGACCCAAAACTAGAGAGCATAAGGTGGTGGATCCTATAATGGGTACATTACCACCATGTACAAAACCTGATGAGGACTACGTATTCTATATGGTGGAGTGAGATTGTTTTAAGAAGGCCCAAAGGCAGGGTGGGGTAACTGATTTTAATATTCTTCTGGTGGGGGCGTGTGGGATGTGGTAGAGGCGCAGAGCAAACTGACACTGTGGCTGGAGTTGAGAACAGGAGAGGACGGGAGGGAAGCACTTGGAGAGCTGAGGGTGAAGGTCACAGTTGCTTGTCTCTCTTCGTTTTTTGTCTTGCCTCACCAGTCAGCGAACAAGACCAAGAAAAGCCGGAGGGGAGAGGGGCTATGCCGAGTCTGCTGTCCCAGGGGAGTACCTCAGAAGGCAGCATTCCAGATCCTTCTCTCTGTCCGCTCACCCCCCAGAGCTTCTCATCTAGATGTTCTGGAGTATGCAAGCAACAGGGAACGTACGTCCATGTTCAGGCATTAACAAAAATGTAGCGATGCCACACAAAAGAGAAGCTGTAGATCCAGACCATTAAAATGGCATCAAACAACACATGCCAGCAGAAGAAAATAGTGGTGAACTCTATGTCATTTTTGTCGTCATCCAACCATTTATAGCCAGAGATGGGTTTGTACAGCATAAAGGCGATTTGTATCAGCCAAGAGCCTGCGAGCATATACAAAAAGGCCTTCATCATCCAGATGAGTGGCTCATTGGGTGCCCAGAGCTCTGTGATCGCCACAAGGGTCAGCAGGAACATGGCCTGAGTGAGCAGCATGTGAGCCTGCAGCTCCACTCCTTCTGTGTCTTGCATGTGAGACACCATCAGGGGCAGACATATAAATGTGCCCAGGGCTTGGGCCCCTTGCTCCAGAGCGGCACACCTCTGAGACAGCAGGTTCTGGCTCACCACATCTAAACATCCACTTAGAAAAAAAGACATATAAAGAGTAAGATGCTGCCACTGTTTGCGGTACACAAAGTTTCTCTGATGATATATCTTGCTGATAAGTACTAACCGTCCCGAAGTGCTATGGAACTCTTGAGCTACTAAAACGCAGGTGCTCAGTACCTTCAGGACGCCAATCCAGTATATTTGCCACAGCCATGCCCATCTTCCTTTGTTCCAAGGACCGCGTGGTGGATACTGGACAGGGGACTTGCATATCAAAGCCCTGGAGAGGAGTCGTGCCTGATAAAGTCCATAGAGGAAAAAACAAAGCCCTGGGTACAGATGACCTTCAAAGCCTCCCATGGAGCTGAAGGTAGGTGAATTCAGAAGCAGAGGCAGAAGGTTCTGGAATGGCCACTCACTCAGGCCCTAGAGTGAGGAAAGAGTGTCCTGCAGCATACTTATATCCTCCATCCAGCCTACTGCATCCACATACAGGAGTGAAATGGTTTTGGAAGAAGCCCAAACTTATGGTGGGGTGGGTGTCATGGTTTCCGTTTTAGTCTTCTGCTCTGCTTCATCGATAACCAGCTAACCATTGACAAACAACAAACTAAGCGTGTTGTTCTCAGGTCCTGTGCTGTAGCGCGCCTTTGTCTTTCTACCCACTCTCGACTCCATTGCTCTCTTCCTTCCTGTCTTTGTCTATTCAGACTACAAAATACCATAAATAATACCAATAACAAAATACCATAAACCAGTGGCTAATACACAGCAGAACTTTATTTCTCATCATTTTGGAAGTTGGAAGTCCAACATCAAGATGTCAGCAACTCAGTGTCTGCTGAGGGCTTGCTTTTGAGTACATGGCATTTTCTCACTGTCCTCACCTTCTAATATCATCAATGTAGGAGTGAGAATTCCAGCGCAAGAATCTGGGGAAATACAAACTTCTGATCATGACATCTCCGAACTCACAAAACATAAGGAAGAACCCAGAGAAAGCATGAAGGGCATACAGTGTAGGGTATATCCCTTAAGACTCCATATAACCTTGTACAAGCCTAGGTGCACATGCAGTTCTCTAGGCAGACATCCTCTTCAGGGCCCCAAGGAAATTCATGGAATGCCCATGATCCTGATGTGGCCTGAATATTGCCAGAAAACTATTCACCTTGAGAAATCTCTCTTCTTATCTCCAGGGGGAAAACAAAACAAAACAAAACTAGGATGCCATCATTTGAGATTCCTTCCTTTGGGCTGCAGCAGAGTTTTTCAAATTAAAATGCAGGTGAATAGGATCTACCCAGAAGTACTGATTGGGAACTTCTTGTGGGTAGTGTGTTTGCAGCAAGTGTTTCAATAAATACCTCCAGGGAATTCTCACGTGGGTATGGTGTCTTGTGGGTGAGACACCAGTGGAATACCAAAACTTTCAGGTGTGCTGGTGAGAAAGGGTGTGCTATGAAGCTAGTAACTTAGTGTGAGTTTGTCATCCAGTATTTACTCTCTAGAAATCCAGATTTGTTTAGTATTGAATAGCCATATTACTTTCAGAGCAGCCAACCAAATACAAGGAACGTTTGAAATTTTGTTCCATGTGAAATGTATAGATTTCTGTTTCAGTTTATTGGTTGGTAAACTAACTTTTGTTGCTTCTATGAAAGGATCTTCTATTTTGTTTCATAATTATTATTGCTAGAAGAAGCTATAATTTTGTGTTGATCACACTAATCACCTTCTGAATGATTCCATATATAAAGTTCAAAAGCACACAAAACGGGGCTGGGGATTTAGCTCACCGGCACAGTTCCTACCTGGCAAGTGCAAGGTCGTGAGTTTAATTCCTGGTATTGGAAGAAAAACAAAAACAAAAACAAAAACAAAATCAAAGCGCCTGCCTGGCAAGAGCAAGGTTGTGAGTTCAATTCCCAGTACTGGAAAAAACAAACAAACAAACAAAAACCACACAAAACTAAACATGAAAAGTATGTGGAACTATAAAATTCAGGAAAATGTTCACCTTGGAGAGGGGAAAAATAATTGAGAGGGACCAAAACAACATTGAAAAGAATGACAATGTTTTTCTTTTTTTAGAGTTAGTGGTAAGCCCAGAAGTGTTGACTACATCAAAATTATATGGCTTACATATATTCTATCAATGTTATTTTATGTTTACCCGATATTAAAAAATTTTAATAAGCAAGATAAGGAAACTAAGTACCACTACATGGGCAAGAGAGATTGAATAGCTAACAAATCTATGAGGCAAAAAGGTGAAGGCACAGTGGTGAAGGAGCTCCCTTAAGGACCAAGATGAGCTCTTCTTCTCAGTCATATCTCACGCTGTTGTACAGAGGTGCTTCTCATTTTTAAATGTTGTTTCTTTATCCGGTTCTTTACTGATAGACTTGTCAGTCTATCTGATATTTTGGTTTGTTTTTAATGAACTGTGGTAAGTCATTTTCTTTATAGGGTAGGTGGCCATAAATGGGTCATAGGTTGTTAGTCAGTTTTCATCACTATAAAAAATACCTGACATAAACAAATTATGAAGAGAAAAGGTCTGTTTGACTCAGGGTTTTGGAGCTTCCAGCCCATGATCAGGAGGACCCATGGCTTTTTGTGTTGAGGGCTGGGAGGTGGCACATCACGGCAGCAGCACAGGCTGACAAAACCCCTTACCACATGACCAAGAAGTGTAAGAGATAGGGGAAGAGACCAGGGTTCACAGTTCCTAGGAGGGCGGCCGCACACTGACCTCCCATTGGACCCTACCTCTTGAAATCTCCACCACCTTCCAGTAGCACTAGATGGGTCAAATATATTCAAAATCCAAAGTATACCAAAGATGATTCCCTTTTATGTTTTAACAGATAGTGACAAATCTTCCTTCACAGTGATGATACTAATTTTACTCACACTCACAACATTTAAATGAACGGGCTCTCTGGATTGTCCTTCCCAAATGAACCTTCCAGTTGCTTCCTTCTGCTTCACCCACACCCACTTCCCTTGTTCAGACATCACGGACTCTGCATTACCGAAACAGCTCTCAATGAGGTTCCAATCTTCCTCTGTCCTGTCACACGTCACCCAGGAGAGCTCTGAGGAGAGAGAGCTAACCACGTCACTCATTAATGTAAAATTCTCCAGTAGCATTCCATTGCTCCCCAGATAAGAGCCAGACCTATAAAAAAAAGCGTCAAGGACCCTCATCCTTTGGCCTGGTCTGATTTCCAGTTCAGCCTGGAATGGCCTTCCTGTTCCTTACCCATTCTCTGTGCAGACTGTATGTGTCTCTATCATTATGCTTGTCACATGGTTTCCTAACTGTTTACTGAAAAGTCTTTAAAGTCAGAAACCATGTCTTAATAGTCTCTATCTTTTTAGAGTCTAGCTCATGCCTGAAGGTGCTCACTAAATGTGTGAAGGATGAATAAGTTAATGCATTATAAGGTAACATACTCTCTCTACCATAAAATACCCTATAACCTAGTTACAAGACTAAATAGATAGATATCCGTGATGCTAAGTCACTAATGCTAAGTGCGAAGTGACAAATGAGTGAAGTAAATGACTAGAGCCATGGAGTTAAAAGAGAGAAATCACCGTAACTGCAGAAGTCAGGGCAAATGTAATCATTTTCAGTTAGTAGCTAGAAAAACTATAGCATGTAAGCTCTGATCTTATCTTTGAATCTTTTGTCCCAGGGCCCAGAGATGTGGAATGAAAGGACATGGTGACTTGGCGTAACTCTCAGAGACACAGATGTCCTTGCATAACCCATGGTTTCTCAACACTTTTTTTTTCATTTTTGCATCCCCCAAGGAGATCTATTCAGCAGGCTTGTCCTTGTCATCTTTTCCCTAAAAAAATTTAATACCACTCTGTTAACCCATATGTTATCAGAAGCAAGGGGTTCTACCTATTGATCTAGACACACTGCTTACCCCTGAGATGGGGAAGGAGCAAGTGCTCAGCTCCCTAAATGACATTTGTGACCTACATGTTCGCCTTTGCTGAGGTAGCCCAGTTGACAACCCTGTGTGCACCTGACCACTCTCCAGCTCAGCCTCAGGGATGGACCCTACTGGAGTATGAACGATTCTGCATATCAGAGTCATCTTGGAGAAACGTTTAAAATTACAGATTTTAAGCCTCACCTCACCTCAGTGTCTTTTGAGGCATACCCTCTCCCAGCACCGCTGGGTTGCTCTTCACCTGATGCTTGGAAACTGCAGTGCTGCATTGGAAACCACCACCTGGTCATTGAAGTGCATCTGGACACAATCTTCCTATCCTTACCAACCCACAGAATCACCTAGCACTGTGGGCAACATCCTCAGAAAGAGAAAACCCAGAAATGTTTACCAAGAGATACTGGCACTCCAGAGAAGGAGGCAGGAGAGAGGGGAGACTCAGAAGGACATAGAAGGAGATGGAAAGGACATAGATGGGGAGAAGGCAAGAGAACCATGGGTTCCGAGGAAACCCAAAGTGGATCGAAGCAGCCCAGACCCCAAGAAGGGAGAAGTAAGGAAGAGGGAGCAGAGGGAACCAGGGGCTGCACTTTTTCTTTAAAGCATGGGGGCTGTGTTAAAAGTCCTCCTGGTCCAGCCTTGGAGACAGTATCAGCTAGCAAGTAAGAAAACAAGGGCTCTGATCCATGTTTGAGCCCTAATATGGCCATTTGCTTGGTGGATATTTTAAGACAAATCATTTATCTTCTATAAGACTAATCTCCTCATATATAAGTCCAGAATTATGGGCATTCCATGGAATATTGTACCTTAAAGTAAGGGATGAATATAAACATTGCTATATTAAATTAAGTATATTTTAAACAAATATATCAAATGAAGTGATACTTGAAGTTATTAATGTTAAGGCTGGATGAGACCATGACATTTATTTCTTTGAAATTCCCTTTTTTTTCACAGATAACAAATCTGAAGCCCAGAGAATGGGGGCTCACAGAACATTCCATGGTTGCTGGGCTAGTTGGTAACAAAGTACATATTGAGAGAGCCTCACAAGCCAGCTGTCAGCAAGAAGTACAAGAATACCCAGCATACCACACCTCCCACTCAGCCAAGGTGAAAATGTAAGAGCACCAAGGTTGGCACTGCACCCTCCTTCCCAGTGAGCCCCGCATCCCTCAGTGTCCAAAGTCACAGGGAAGCCCAGAACTCAGGCAGCCCCATGGGCTGGACCTTGAAATCTTGATTTTCTGTGCCACAATGTCTACCCCTCAGTGGTTCTATCAGGAGGAGAAGCCAGAACTGGGGGACAAGGGAACATGCACCTGCCATTAAAATGCCCACCATAAGCCAGGTATGGTGTGCATGGCTGTAATCCCAGCACTGGGGAGGCTGAGGCAGAGAATTGTGAGCTCAAGGCCAGCCTGGGCTACAAAGGGAGACACTGGATCAAAACAACAACAACAAAATGCACTGTGGTGTATCTTAAAGGTAGAACACAACCAGACAAGCTATAAGCGACTCCATTATTTTGAAGGCTGAAAGGGAGAGCTGGTCAATATGGAGCCCAGAACACAAAACACAAAAAATTTAGCTGAGCTAAATCCAGAGCTGCCCAAGGACAAAGACCAAAGTACTTGGAAGAAAATAAATACCCTATCACAGAAATGAAATCTTTCTGAGAAGGGACAATTTGTCCAACTTACCTGCTGTATTTTCCCCAGGAGGCCATCCTATTGTCCATATTCTGTGTCGGTAGAGACAGTAACGGTGTAATTCCTAGTGTCAAGAGACAGAATTACAACAAACTGAAAAGTCTTATTTGTGGTTCTAGAATCAGGTAACATTTCATTCTATACAATAGAAGGAGGGTTCCCGTGAGCTCAGTAGAGAAGCATGACTTGATAGAGAAGGGCTGCAGGTAGCAGAAACACAAAACAAAAAGTGGATTACGTTAAAGTTACTTTCCTTATAAACCGTAAAGCAGAGGAAGCTTCTTTATCAAGTAAATCTAGCCTGTTTAGGGGTTTGGGTATCATCTCTTGCTCCTGACTTTTTGGAAAGTCAGATAATGAATACGCGTCAGCTTAGTAGGCAGAGAACTTGGGTGTGTGTGAGCCATTTTGGTTTAGTCTTGGTGCAGGAGCTCAGTCCAAACCAGTGGCCTCCTATAAATTTGATTTAGCTCTCCCAGCCCTGATCCCAGGGTACAAGGAAGACAAAGGTACAGATGAGCTTCTGTGGTGGTCAGGTGGGTGGGAGACAAGGATTTTCCTAAGCGGGCATAAATATTTCAGCCACTGGAAAGATGTATCCTTTATATTAACAAGTAAATTTGCTTTCTGGTTTATATTTTAGTGTTCAGTTCTTTTGAACCTCAAATACACCAATACAATTGAGTTTCTGGAGCTGTAGAGCTGCCTTCTCGGTTCTTCTTGGGATTTCTCCATGCCCCTGTGAGCCTACAGCTTCTCCCACTCCATTTTCTTCCATCTCAGATACAAGAGTATTCTAACATTTCCCACATCACATATCCCAGAAAACTTAACCCACTCCATTGCAGTGTAGAAAACGTGTTTTGGCTGTTCATAATCAGACAGACACTGTGCTAAAAGCTAGTATTACAAAGATAAAAGACATGACACCTGTACTTAAGGAACTCAGAAGCAGTACCTTGTCACTCGTTGTAGTCCCTAGGCCACTAGTGTCAGTAGCACCTGGAAGAATGTGAGAAATGTAAAATCACAGACCTACCTAATCAGAATCTATATTGAATCTGTGATCCCCAGCTCATTAGTATACACACTAAATTAGAAAAGCACTGATCTAGAAGACACAACTAAAGCCACCTTAAATTAAATGTTATGATGGTGTTATAAATAGAGTCAGTGAGAACATAGAAGAGGGTGTAGTTATTTCTAATGGGGAACAACAGGGTAATCCTTATAAAGCATTAAATGTTTACACTGAAATTTAAGTTGAATAGGACAGTGGTTTGGGGAGTAGGGAGTGGATGCCAGTGGGAGCATTCTAGCTGAGGGTAGGGAAGAGGCCAGACAGAAAGACCAGAACATAAGTGTTTTGAGAGCTCCCAAAGCTCACCCTGGGGTGGGCAGCTCCACCCAAATGTAGGTGCTTTACTCTCCTGGGCATTGACCTAGATGACGAGGCCCTCGTGAGCACTGTCACCTGACCTCCACGGCAGGAACTGATCAGCGCATGGATGGGGAGAGGGCTCCTCCCAGCTCCCCACCCTCAGTGACCCCTCAGGGATGAGGGGCTGATGTTTGCTGCCAGCAAAGGATGCTGAGTCTCAGATCTTGTGCCAGGCCATCCGGTCCCTGGCAGGAACTCTAGAGAGTGACCTTGATAACAACTGGATACGCCAATTCACATGGATTCCTGGCAGACCAAACAGGTTTCTCCCTCTTTCCAATGTCAAGGGAAGGAGACGCTAGAAAAAGGAAAGTAGTGAGAAGCAGTGGGAAAGGACTGGGGGACGGAATCCTGGCAAGGCCCCTCACCGGGTGTCCTCTCCAACACTTATGACTTGTGCTTTCGCTACTTTCCACGCAGCTTTAGAAAGGTGTGTCACTCCCCCCAACTTCATACAACTTAGATTTTCTTGGAATTTACTTCCTGGTGACAAAATAAAACATTTTTCTTGGGGATATGTTCTCCAGCCAGATCACAAAAGCAGAGTCTGGGTTGTGTTGTCCATCAGGATTATGTTACATGGCCTGGCACAAGATCCTAGCTGTTGCACACCTACTGTGTATTGTGTTGGCAACTAAGCAGGGTACTAAAGAAGTTTGGGTTCTGGTCAAAAAATGTTCTGGGGTATATATTTGGAGAAATATGACATACATTTGTAAAGAAGAAGGCAGTATACTGGTATAATGCCATAATAAAGTGTTCTATTAATAGTTGTTAACATTTCACAGTGCTAAACACTTTATAGGAACCATTTCACTTATTCCACACAAATCTATGGGGTAATAAATCCTTTAGGATGTTTTACTAAATAGTAAAAAAATCATTCTGTCATTTGATAAGAGCTCTACCACAGTGGTCAGTTCAGCAGTGGAATGAAGTCTTTGAGGATCCAGGTTGTTTCTAGTTTGTCTCTCTGCCATTCTCATGAGTTTTGTCCTCAGACTGGCAGCCATCACAGTTTCAGTGGTTGACACACTTCCGGATCCCACATCCTTGCATACCCAGAGGCAGAAATGAGAGCTTTATTTCATGTATCTATAGCTGTATCCATAGAGATACACAGCATATTTCTTTATATTCTCATGTAGACTAGGGGAAGGCCTCACCCAGACACCCTTCCCCAGGTTACCCCTGGCATTTCTGTGACTGGACCTGGATTTCACATCCCCAACTCAGCCTGTCACCAGCAAGTGGCATCACAAGACTGGCTGGGCTCAGTCCCTGGAGGCACGGCAGGGGCCCAGGCCCATGACCGCCCTCCCCCGATGCACAGGACAGGAAGGAGGGTAGAAACAAAATAAAATAATTAACTAAAAATGAAGTTCTATAAGAATAAAAGGCACATGGCTCTTGACATAAACACATGTTTCTTCTTTCCAGTTTAAGAAACTGAGATTTTGAGAATTTAAATAACTTGTTCAAGGTCATATAAATTTTTTTAAAAACATTTTTATTTCATTTTATTTTTTTTTCAAGGTCATATAACTTATAAACAAGTGTTAGAAGGAAAATTCCTTAGGCCAGTTAAACTTAGCAGAGTTTACTTGAACAAAGAAAAACAAAGCAGAGCAAAACAAGAACAAGTCACGAATCTGACAGCCCCCAGAATCCAAATAGACTCTCAGAACTTGAAACCAACAAGATGAGCTGATGGCATTTATAGAAAATGGAAGTGCGCTAGAGAGGCAACTTAACTGCAGTTAAGACATAACCTAGCTAGTTGGTTATTTGGCCCCTTGCAATCAGCTAAGACTCAGCCACTATGATTAAGCTCTCTATCGTTTTGGTGTGGTGGCCCTCATACAGGAGCTTCATGCAGGCCACACTAACGGCTGCCTACAAATTTTATGGAGCAGTGGGAGAGCTGGGATCCCAAGCAGAACCCACACCCTGGCACATTCCAGATCTGGCCCAGCATCCCCCACCTCCGCAGCCCTGACTCCTTTTCTGACTCCATCCCCCAGCTGTTCCTCAGTCTGGAGCCACAGGTTCCTCTGCACCTCGAATCCTGTAATGCACATGGCTGTTATTTTTTCTCCCAGCCTCCGCCAGTCTGGGCACTGGCTCTTATTCAAGGTTCTATTTCTCCTCTGAACAATGGTGGCAAACCTATGGCACATGTGCTGCGGCTGGCTGTTTGTTATCACTGAAAGTTCTGAAAGGTTCGCCATCACTGCCCTATACCTTACACTGTGCATATTTGCTTTTTAAAGGAGTCTCCATCTCTTTTTCTCATTGGACTGGGCTTTTCTCCTCAGGAGAGGGTATCTCCTTCTCTTTGTATGCCCAGGATGTAGCCACAGCTGTAACACCCAGGAAATATTCAGAATAAGTAAGGGCTCAAACTGTAGATCCTGACACATCAAGATTTCACAAAGTTTTACCTTTGCCACTTACTTACTAGCCATGTGGCTTCAGACAAATGACTTAATTTACCTAAACTGCAATTCCTTCATCCACAAGCTGAAGATATTTACCACACAAGGGTATGACAAGAATTGAATGAGATAATGTTGGATTAGCATAGCCCTGAGTAAATGGTAAGTACCACTTTTAATTAACTAAAAAAAAATGAAAATGAATGTTATACTGTATTATAGTTTACAGGGTTCTTGCTTTTACATTTTCTAGTCTGATCTGCATGACTATTGTTGGTACTAGCTGCAGAACTTGGGCCAATTTCTTACCTTTCCTAAGCTTCAGTTGCCTAACTCTCAAACTTAGCATTATTAGTAAATGGGAGGGAAAAAAACCTAGCTATTGTCCATCACAGAGTAACTCTCAATAACTGTCAGCAAGGTAGTACAGAAAGCTTTTTCTAGAAGGACATGTGAACATGTTACATTGGGTAATGGTAATAGCACCCCCCTTTATTTCCATGCTCCCTATTCATGCAGACCAGGAGCGGGGTCTGGCCTGAGGTGTACATGGGGTAAATTCTCCCTGTCTCCTCTTCCTGGGCATCAGAATTATGAACACAGCCTGTGGTAAGCAGCAGCCAATGATAATGTTTGTAGAAAATGCTTTTATGAGTATTATTATTTTCAATTTTCACACACCCTAATTAACTAAGAAGAATTATTATTCTTTTAAAAGTAGATGATGCTTTTGAGGTTGAGATCAGCTATGTGACTTTCCAAATTTAGGAAATTTTTGACATTTCTCACCCAGATGTCTGCTCTCACTTTTACATGATGGTCTACTTATATTGAATCTGTGTCCAAATTTTCTCCTTTTATTAGGATATCAGTTATATTGTGTGAGGGGCCCACCCTCTCCAGTATGACCTCATTTTTAACTTAGATACTGCAGACATCAATGTATGATTGGGGCAGGGGCTACAGCTGAACCCATAACAGAGACCATCCACAGCAGGGTCAGCCAATGGACATACATGAGCAAATAATAACTCTCCAAAAATGTAATCAAGCAACCTTAAAGGGGCAAGGCCCTTAAACTCTCTCAGATTCAGTTTCCTGAGCTGTCATAGGATTTCTAGCAAACCATCAGAAGTGGGGAGAGAGGCGTGAAACAGATTCTCCCCATGACCCTCAAAAGCAGCC